ATATATATATATATATATATATATATATATATATATATATATATATAACTAAAGAAATAAACCTAAACAACACCTACTAACAACTAAATCCTACGGTCTAATCCCGTTTCTTTCCATGGAGGGGCTTAGGACCCAGGGGAATGTAGGTGAAGGAAACAGGAAGTGACGGAACGGAAGACACGCCACACAAACAGCTGTTCACCGCTCGCTGGCCAGCCGTTTCTTTTCGGCGTTAATTAATTAATGCTTTAACGTGAAAAAAAAATGCCATGATATAATGTGAAACCGCCAGAATCTTACAAAATACCGTGATATGCATTTTTGGTCATACCGCCCAGCCCTAGTGAGAGGGTGTGGTTTAAGTGTGTGAGAGGGGCGTGGTTTAAGTGTGTGAGAGGGTGTGGTTTAAGTGTGTGAGAGGGTGTGGTTTAAGTGTATGAGAGGGGCGTGGTTTAAGTGTGTGAGAGGGTGTGGTTTAAGTGTGTGAGAGGTAGGGCTGGGCGGTATACCGGTTGAACCAGTATACCGGTTTTAATTTCCCGTACTATATGAATTTTTCATATACCGACATACCGGTACACAGCCGAAACAACTTATATTGTTCGCAGCTGGGAGCGCTACGGTCTTAGCTGTATTGAGAGGGAACCCTAGTCATGGTCATAACTTTATAACAACAATTAACAACCCACAACTAACACTCTTTAAAGTAGGTTGTTTGAATTCACAACTGGCTAACCCGTGGGGCCGTTCTGTTTCCAACTATAATTGATGCAATCATAGCCTCGACTCTGCTCGAAACATTTTAATCTTCAAAAAACATCACCTTGAGAATAATTATGTCTCTGTTACACCCAACACAGAGGGGGCAGAGTGGGGGCGAGTCCGAGCAGCGCCCACGCGTGACATCCCTAATAACATGGATGTAATAAAAGGCTATACACGCTATACTCCAACATCAAGAAGCTATTGTCTAACTTTGGCAAGCGGGATGTAGCAAATCCGTAATTAAAATAGCAAGCTGAATGATAAAACAAAGCCACTTGCTGTGAGACAGCGTATCCGACTAGATATAGATCTGTCATTAGGCTAAAGAATTGTCCTTTGCCTTTTCTGCCTTTATCTCCCTGATGCGGATATATTTCCCCGGGATTGGTCCTTTTTCCAGCCAGGCAGAGGAAAAAAAAGAAAAGAAAAAAGAGAGCTGATCTCTTCGAACGTCCTAATCAGTCACAGCTCGCCTGCTTACCGTAACCAAAGTCGAGGCCACCGGTTCACCCAGGAGATGAACCAATTGAACGGCGGCACTTCATGTTTTTAAATTGGCATCAGAATGACAACTGTGACAACACTTTTCCTGTAATGCTCCAAATTTCTCCGGCATGCAAGTGCACAGGTTGCCAGGTTCAACTAGAGGGCAACTAGGATTGAATAATATATATGTATATATTTTATTTTTTTGCATGACAGCCAAGACACTTTGCCAGTATTGACTTGAAGATCAAACACTCATGAATAATACATCTGGTAAAGCACACTGGAAACACTGGTGTGAGCTCTGCAGCTGGCCGGTTTCCCATCACATGAAGCTGTTTTAACGGAAGCCAGCACGGCAACAGACTGTCCCTCCTCACTGTTATGGTTGTTGGAGCTGGTTTAAAAATGCACAGAGCCCGACAAATAGGAACACTATGCAGTAGACTGGTTGTGGAATCAGTGAACTCCTGATCTACACAGGTAAGGAGAAGTGTGTGTGTTTGCATTTATGTGTGCTAGTGTGCCTACTGCGGACAGTAGGGAGAAGTGTGTGTGTGTGTGTGTGTGTGTGTGTGTGTTTTGTGTGTGCAAGCTATTCTCCTGGATAAGAAGCTTTCAAGTAAATGAATGAATACATTATGGATTGGTGGCCGAGCATCAACAAAGCCGCCGTACTGTAACAGAGCGGAGTCAAGCTGCAGGACAGCCAGGCTGAGCAAGGCCAGCAGCACAATGAGGGATCCAAAGGGGACCCGGGGGGGGGGGGGCACTCAAGGGACCCTTAACTGAAGACACTTATCAAACCATAGAGAAGGGAAAGTAAGGTGAGATATCGTCCAATCCACTCTACCCACAAGCCACACTAACCGTACGCCTACAACCATGCACATTCACAGATTAATTTTTCCCTGTCATCCACCTACACACATAGTGAAGATACACACATGGACACATGTAGGCCTTTCCTTTCCCCCGCCCTGTCCATGTGTGTCTGTTTGTCCTGAGGGTAAAGAATACATTCATATTCAGCGAATGATCCGCAGAAGCCGTTTGCAGCCATTTCTTTTCCAGCCGCTGGCGTAGAGCAGCGGCCATTGTGACCGTGCGATGAATTCAGTTTTTGTTTCCTTTTATTCTTATGCTCGCGCATAGAATTAACTCAGAAAAAATAAAAGACATGGGACGCAGCATTGTGAGAGGGAGAACGTTCTGTAAAAGCCCACTTCAAAGCCGTCGTGCACAGCCAGCGTCTGACTTTCGACTCCAGGCGCGTGGTAATCGGGAAGAGGTTTCATCCGTGCCCATTGTCATTTATTCATTAGCTCGCAATCAGATCTCCTGTGCAAGGCATGAGACGCCATAAATCAGTCACCGGCTGTCCATTAACAATTCATGCAATTCATAAAACATAAGAGCCGTCATTTATTTATCACCTCTAAATGGGATTTCCTTCCCACTCATTGGCTCCGGCTTAGGAGCCAACTTCTGTTGGCCCGTCCGACGGCCATTTTGAGAGCGAGCCAAGATCAAAACAATGCAGATCCAAGCTAAAATGGTCCGGAGAAGCCTGATCTTGCACGCTGACGTTCAGAGAGGAGGAGTGCCGTTGTCCCTGGCTAAATCTTCGGCTGGTGTGCCTGGTATCGCGAGGAAGAGCAAGCAGCAGGTGCCAGGCTGCGGCTGGCTGCTGGCACAGTTGTTTTTCTGCTGATTCTCTTGAGCAGTTGATGTAATTGTGAGTAATTAAGCTTTAAAGTGGTCTTGTCTTTCCCAAACCTGGAACATGAGTCCCGGGGGAGAGTGGAGTGAGGTGGAGGGATGGAGGGGGGGGATTGGGGGGGGAACACACACACACCAGTGGCTGGTACACCGAAGGCTGCTTTTGTCTAAACAGATCCTATATGAAGAGTCTGGAACGGAGCCAGTAGATAATAACGCCATATTATCACACTGACTCTGTTGATGACATTAAATTATACTATTGCCCACGGGGGCCCTGGCTCTTATCATTGTAAGGATAAACAGCAAATTACAATGGGGATGCAACAGTTGGAATGAGCCTAATAAAGGCCTTGTGTTTGTTGTCTGGCTGTCTGTTACTTTACAGCGCATAATATTTCTGTGGTAGTTTTCTTAAGTGCCTTACACTTAAGAATACTTAGCATCATGCTTGAACAACAGTAGGGTGCCTTTGCATCTCCATAAAATCAAGTAATGTGTGGTAATGGTCACCGAGGGACACACACCGGGACAAAGTAGACAATGAACAGGGACTTACGGGTGGCTGGCTTGTTGCAGTTGTGTCCATGCCTGAAGTACTGAGGGTTCTCAACCACGGGAATACGAGTCATCCCTATGACGACCGCATCAGGACCCGCATCCAGAGTGCAGGGGGTAATAATCCCGTGGTTGACGTGATGAAGAGGGCTGGCAGAATCTTCCTCACCACTGATCACAGCTACCGGACCTGGAAGGAGAACATAAGAGTGATGAGTCAATTTAACAATTTAAAGTCCAAATGTTATCTGACTTTTATGTCAAACTGTTAGACTCCTTCATTGTCACATCTAACAATGTACCTGATGACCAAAATATAAACGCAACTTCCTGAGGTATCATACATGCAAGTTATAAAGTAAGTCCAACTTCACCTACAAAATTGAAACTTTGCCTGTTGTTACTTCACTGTGCAGAGTGATCGATGTGCAGAGTTTTATTTGCACAAGTCTGGAGGCCAATTGGGTTCCAGTATGCAACTTACATAAATGTGATGTGGAAACATCTTTTGTTTTTTTGTAATTTTCTTTCTTGTGTGTTATTCTTCAAATGAAAAAATTTGTGCGCATTTACAGATTTTGGATATTTTAATGAAAGGAAAGGAGTTGATGGAATTTCAATAATTTGTAATAAGGTAATTGAAGTTTGTGGGAAAAAAACACACCAGGCATTATTTAAAGCAGGGTATTTTATGTCTTTAAACATGTCTGGAGGAAAGCTTTAACTGATAGTCAGCTTAATCATATATGACATATTGGTAACTGTTGGGGAGGTGGGTGGTTTGTTTTCCGCCACAGGCCAGTGTAAATCAGCTACAGCAGTGGCAGTAACAGTGCTGTAAATGTGAACGGGAAAAGGTGGTTAGTTAATGCTCAGTGTGCTTGGTTCAAAAAGACTTCGTGTTTCTACTTGAATCTACCCTCATAAACTCAAATCTACAGTAGTTTCCTCCACAGAAACCACAACAAAATGAAATGAAAAATTATTATTAAGTGTACTGTTGTCTGGAATTAATTGACAGATAGCATAAACATTGTCAAGAGGAATGTCAACCTCATGTCAAATTTGATTGCATGAAAATATAAATTAATATAATTATTAAGTTGAAACAAAAAAAAAAATACCTGTAACTATACTTTCATGCAAAGATGTTTCCGGTTCCAGCTTGTCAAATCTTTGGGATTTGGACTGCAATAAAACAGGCAATTTGTCACCTTAGGATCTGGAAGATTGTAATGGAAATTTTCCATAATTTTCGGCAGGTTTGGATTAGATTGCAACTAATGATTATCGTCATTACTGATCAAATGGCATGATCAATAATGACGATAACCATTAGTCGCAGGCCCAGTTTACAAATTGATTCATCAATACATCCTTTCATCCATTCTTTCTTGTTTAAGCACACACAATTAGATACTAAATCAAAATATCTATTTGCATGTAAAGCAGGAGTTCTCAAAGTTTTAATGACTGAGCATCAATTCAGGGAGCCAGCATATGATTGAGAGCCGCTCAGGAAAAATGCACACATCTCAGGTCCACATTAAACTGCAGGGTTAAGTGAACAGCAACAGCACTGATGACAAAATGTTATTCCTGTGACACTTGTGATGTGCCACTAATTGCCACGCAACCAGTAGCTTTCTAGAAGTCGCCACTGCTAACAGACGCTTGTTAGGGGGGGCCGTAGTTTGACGCAGTCGCCGAGTAGCAAATGAAATCTAGGATGTTGAAAGTGAAAGTATTGAAACGGACCACGGATGATTAGAAAATAACACATGCATTTCATGTCACATTCGGGGGCAGCACAACATTTTTTCCTGAGAGCTGTCATTGGCCCACGGGCTGCACTTTGAGCATTGGCACTCTCTGTGCTGGTTGAATTTATGGTGTCATACAACACATTCCTGTCAACCAACCCCAATTTCCTTTCTTTAATCAAAATTCAAAGACATGATTTACTGTCAGCCAGTGTCATCCCGTTTCCCCGTTCTGTCACTGCTGTTCCTAAAGCAACACACAGCTCCGACAACCGCAATCTTCGGCGGTGGAGGGAGGACAGGAACGGCAAGTGGATATAAAGTCAACAGTAGCTGATTCATTGAAGCAGTGACAGTCAATGTGTTTACCCACAAACTTGAGTCTCTTGCTCACCTTGACAACACAGTAAATAGTAATCAAGACCCAGTCATATCAAATTATAGACCCTGAGTCGCAGGGGAGGCGGGGTGTGATGAAGTGAGACATGTGAGCATAAATTTATTTACCACATTTGCTCTTATGCAGGGTTTTCATAGCTGAGCACCCGCTTTATTGGAGCGATGTGCACAGCAGAGCAGAGGTCTTCACTGTGGGAACTATATCTACCCAACCACTGGGGACGAGTGGTCCGCCACGGCACTAAATCTCTGCCGATGGCTCTGACTCTCCTCAACACAGCACAGACAGAAAGATATACAAAGTATAATGGTTCAAGCATCACTACACTTGAAAAACAATCATTACGGAGAAAGTTGGGCTGAGTCAAAGGGAGAAATCTTTAAAAAATGTGAAAAGATACCTCAAAAATGATCCTAGAATTATGCTCTGCTTTTTCATACAATATGAATTGGAATGAAAACCCATCTGGTCGGACTCCAGTGCCAGATCGATGAGGCCTCGGGGAACGCCTGGCCTCCCTCCCTCCAAACTGCTGCACTCAAAACTACCCGCCCTCCCACTAGATTCTTTGGGAGATGAAGGTTTTCTGAGGAGTGAAGGGGAAATTGTACGTCTTGACTTCAGAACATCCCCCAAAAAATTGCATTTATGTTACCTGAGTGATGAAAGGGCCCAACGGCCGCTGAGAGGGTTTTTTTTTTATCTTCGGAAACGATGCCTGTGCACAGAATGGAATTGGAACAGGAAGTGGACGTTTTCCCCCGAACCGTCTATCTGAGAATAAAGTTCCTCTCTATTAAGCCAACTTTGATCTATTCAGGAGAACTGGAAAATGAAATGAGCCAACTTTCAGCTATTTTTCCAGTCTTTTCATCTCTCGTCCCTTTTCACAACTTTTCTTTTGCAGTAATATGGTTCGTACGGAAGGTAAATTCAGCCATGCACCACCAATGGCCACTGGGTCTAATTCAAACCTTGACTAAAGACTTCGGATGGTTTTTCAGCTCAAACTTTTCTATTTCTCAAGTTGCAACAGTCTTACGACATAAGACATGTGAAGATGAATATGTAAACTTATTACACATGCTGACATTTAGTGAAGTCCATTTGTCTCCTGTCATCAAAACTTCTACCAGTTTATTAATATAAAGCAGGCCGTTTTGATTTAACATTTTGGGAATTATTTGCTTTCCTGCCAATATTCAGATGAGAGGATCGATACCACTCTCATGTAAGACTGTGCCAGGATTACATTTTTACGTTCCAATCATAAAGGTCATCAAAATGTCTACTGTCAGTGCTAATTTAAATGACTTCAAACCACAACTGCCTTTGTTTTTATTGGACCTGAAACAACTGAACAATGAACTGTGTATTGCAGGTTTGCTGCAATACACAGACAAAAGCAGGTTTGTTGTAAAAAAGTTAGAGAGAGCTGCCTGGACACTACTTTGAATGCAGCATAGTGTCTGTATCTCTTAGATTCTATGTGCCCTTTCATGTTATTATACATGCGTTGCTATCTTTTGTGTATCAATAATTGTGAAAATAAAAAAAATTATTTGCACACCATCCCTTTTTTCAGCACGTTTCCATTGTCAAATCTTTATCGAAGGACAAAATAAAAAATATTTTCTACATCAGACCCGCCCTTCTATAAGATTTTCTGGTGTGCAAGAATGTGGTAGTAAGTATATGGTCCAGCTGTTTACAGCCTTTATGCTATGCTAAGCTAAGCTAGTCGGCCGCTGGTAGAAGCTTCATGTTCATACAGACGTGCTCTCAATTTTGTCATCCGACTCTCAGTAAGAACAGTGAATCATTAAGCAAAATGTCAAACGTTTTAGACTGTATTGAACACAAACATTAAAGTCAGATACTCTAAATAACTCAATACCATGATTTGTATCAGAAACATGAGACTGGTTCCTCACCTGCATCTCACACACAAGTTGGCAAGAATGCAATTGATCATCAAAGGACACGCTGCCACGGGCAAAAAAAAAAAAAAATCATTCATTTATGTTCGGAGTAAGTTTGTTCAGGGATTCCCGGGGAACGTCCTAGATCACAGCGACAGGCCGTCGTTTGAAGGTGAGTTAAATCTCATTGCTCACATCCTTCTATGCTTTGCCAGCAGATACGTTTCCCCTGCAAACATCCTTTTACTTCTCTGTGGAAAATACGTCTCTCCAGATGAAAGTCATCCGTTATTTTCCAAAAGACGTGTCACTCCGGTCGGCATTACTCAACGGTCATCCGCGTAACTTTCTTCAATCTCTGCTGGCGGCGGTGCAGCAAATGCTTTATGTTCATGCAAGGTGCGGCTCGCAGGTGCATTAGCTAATTCAGCCAAATCAATTGTTCAAGGTTGACATTTGCATCATCTGTTTCCCTGAGTTTAAAAGTCAATCTAATTTACTCTACAGGAGCAGAGACAGAGGCGCCTGCCCCTCCTGGGTTTTCAAAATGGACTCGTTCATTAAGGTATTGTCAGAGTGCCAGGCCAGCGGGTCCATCTGTGGACCGGGCCTCAGTGGTGAATGAAAAGAGCATGCAAACCTTTGAACTAGCCACCTTTCAGACACAAGCCCACTTTTATCTCCAGGCCTTGTCACCTTGTGAGCATAATAACATTAGGAGTGCTAAATAAATTACCTGCAAATGTGAAAGAAAACCTTATTTTCTAGCTTTGTATGGGGGAGCACCTCATGGAACCTCACACTCACTGTCACATGGTAGCAGGGGGGAGCCGTTAAATGTGTTTTCATGTGTGTGTGTGTGTTTGTGTGCCGTATCATGTGTCACACAAAAGTACCATTAATCCTGTGGCTCAAAATGTCAAAGATGTTGTAAGATTTATTTCATCCTTTAAATATTTATGAAACGGACGCAGCTTCAGTCTTTTTGGACAATAATATATGGTTAGGACACTTCATGCTAACACAGGACTTTCATCCAGGAGACCTGTGTTCGTGACCCAAAGTATTGTTGAGTGATTTTGGAGTTTCATGTTTACTGTACTTA